TAAGGAGGCATCCACAAGATAAATTGAAAACTTCTGCTTCTTTGTCATCCTTGTACCAGCTATTTAAGCAGAGCCAGGGAAGCAGCATTGTTCTTTGTAATGTGCTTTGTCAGCTAGAAGACACAAAGCTTTTTCAGACTACCACAAGGCACAAATTCTGAAAGTCTCTTTTTCTCGTAAGAGCATCAGTCTGTTAAACACACTGTCTCCAGGTCTCTAGTATTGAAAGGGACTGTGATCAGTGGTGCCTTCTTCCATTAGCACCTGATATGCAAAACTGAGGCCATGACTGTGGATGTTTGAGTGCCTGTTTTGGCTCTTGTGGTGACTACAGAATCATAGAATTGTTTAGGTTGGAAGAGACCTTTAAGATCATCGAGTCTGACTGTCAATCCAGTACTGCCAAGTCACCTCAATATTCAACAAATGCTGTAAAAACAGTCATTTGGATGACCTCTGACTGGGAGAAGGGAGATCTGTTCTCCTGAGGGAACAACGGTGCAAGCCACATGGCACAGGTTAGGAGTCCTGTTGTGTGGTGTGTTCTGATATGTTCATAATCCTCCATAAGCAAGTTGAGAGGAAGCTTATTGGGAAAAGATGACTAACCAGAACAAAAACTTGTCACAAGGCATGACAGGTCTAGTTCAGTTATATATATCAGTGCTGAGTTTCATACAGTCCAACACGTCTAAGGGCACACAAAGCCTGCCACAAGGAATTTTTGATCCAGGGAGACAAGAATGAAACAGCAGTTAAAATATATAAAGCAAAACATGACTTGAAGTTGGCATCATGTTTATGATGCTAGCAGAAGTTGGCATAATAAAAGGGAAGTGCAGATAGTCTACTGTGGTTTTAATTTGGTAATCTAGTATTTGTGAGCGCTTATGGCTAAACATATAACCCACAACCCCTCTATCTTCTGATGAAACGTTGGGCCAGTCAGTTTAGGGATGAGTATCACTATTAGTAAGAAGAGTTTGGCCCTCAATGTAAGCTGCTACTGCACTGGTAGCCCACAAGTATGGTCAACCTGAGCTAAAGGGTGCTGACATTGCAGTGGCCTACTTCAAATCATGTCTTATATGCACGAGATAGAGTTTCATACTTACTCCTTTTGGGAAGTATCTTCTTCTACATTGCTGCATGCTTTGCTTAACAGTGTAAATGAACTCGGTTACCTTACTGGGTGCATGCTTTGGAAATATAATTAAATAGTAAACTAAGAACCTCTGTATTATGACGTGTAAATTTGCATTCGTGAAGCAGAGTAGGAAAATAATGCCAGCAGCTTCCATCTGTAGACAAATGAATGTAATCTTGGAGTTTTTGGTCTATAACAAGCTGAAGAGAATAAGAATAAATTAAGCTGACTCACCCTGCATATGCAGAAATGATGTTTTTTTTTCTGCCAACATTCCATTTCCACAACTGGGACAATATAGAAAAATAAAATACTGTGTAAGGAAACAAACCTGGTGCTGAATCAGAATGGGCCTTTACTGCCTGAATGACAGTTGGCATTCAAGTATCATGTTAACTGAATTAGAGCAAGCTAGAAATGACTTAATTCCATAAGTATATGCTCCTGTCAAGTTACTTATTTAATAATTGTTGCTTGCTAGACAGAGCAGGGAAAAATGACCATATAAGAGATTTCTGAGAAGTTAAAAATAAAATTCAATGTTACCACTCTACGCTATAGATAAGCAACAGAACAGAAGCCTGCTTCTTGTTACAGGAAAAGTGTTAAATGTATTATTGGAAATGATGCATTTCATAATTTGGCACTGTGCTAAGCATGAAACTCAAAAGAGCTTCAGCCGTTGTCTGGAGCGTACTTGAATGATGACATGAGCTTTTTCCTCCCCAAAACTGCTGCAAGGAGGCAATGCTGTTCTACTTACCACAACACAAAGCTACTTAACCCCGAGGGCTAAAAATTCTCACAGCTGCCCAAAAAAAAAAAAAAAGAGCTTGAGAGGGGCAACTGACTTGGTCATATGTGTTTGAGGTGCTGCTGCTCACATGCTCAGGATGCTCCCCACTTGCCCTGCCTGCATAAGCCCCCAGTACAAGTCCCGTCTAGCACAAAGACTGAATGTAGCACTACCAGGGCCGCGTTCATTGGCCTTCAGAGAAAAGACAGACCTTGTTATTCATGAAAATTAACAACTCACCAGACAGGCAGAACTTACCCTAATTTTTAGTATAAGCCAGGACCAATCAGAATTTCCAAAACTAGCATGAGGATCATCAACCTATTTGTATGCCGACCTAAGCAGTGGGCATTTTAAAAAGGACAACAGCATACAGTGAGAGCTCAAGCCGTTGTCCTCAGGGAACAATGCCATTGCAAGGATGAAGTGGGGTGAGCTGACCACCCCCCAGACAAGACAGCCTGCAGGGACCATTCTGGCTAATGCAAAACATCAAGGCAAGCTGGGGCCATCAAAAACCTTTGCCCATATAGTAAGGACTTTTTCATTATAATAAGCTTTTATTACATGGTTAATGTTTATGGAACACCGTGGAAGACATGGTATTCACGTGACTGCTATTGGCTCACCAGAAGACCCAAGAAAAGAGAGCAAAGCAGTGTGTACACTGAACATGGTAGATGTATAGGTAGGAAATAATTAAATAATGGCTGTATGATGACATTCCTATGAAGCAGTGATGTTGTAGATGGAGATTTTCTGAACCCTTGTTAGCTTCATATCACTGAGTTAACCTTGTGCAAGATGACTATTTGAGGGAAAAGTCAGGTCCCAGAGGACTCTTTCAATATGCTGTGGCTGTAAGAGCACAGCAGGAGTGTTTATTTTTTATATTTGTGTAATGCAAAGTAAAACGCAGTGCAGAAGCAGTGGATACATGATCTTTGAAGATCATTATTCTGTGTAAAATTCTTTGTTCAGCTCTGTTTTTTAAACTGGCTATCAGAATAATGCAGAGGCATTACAATATACAAAGTAGTATAACTTAGCCTTTGTTCTGTAGGTCAAGCTAAATTTATTTTAGCAGCTAGGAACAGATTGTTGCCTAATTTTTTATTCATTTTCAAAACAAACAGTACATTTCCCTAATAATCACAAGCGATTACAACTTAAGAAGCAAATTGCTACCATTTTTTTTGTAAAGCAGTAGGAGATCAGCCAACACTATATATTTATCTTAATCTGGAGAAATTACAAGGGTGCACAGATACAGTTGCAGAGCTAAAACCAATCTTTTTTCATCTCTGTCTTTATACTCACAATTTTAGAAACCTAAGACTTCTCTGTTTGCATTATGATCTTTTGCTTCCCTGGGAAGCAAAATCTTTAATCCTTTTAGGCAGCCTCTGAGTTTTGCCAGCCCATATCTGAGGTTTGTTCTGTCTCTGAAAGCAAAGCCTCGGTGAAACAAAAAAAATGTTTCATGAGCACGATCTTTATAAAAATGGTGCTGTACTGGATCCTTCCAGCCTGACACTACCACTGTCATGTCTGCAACTGTATTGTCCTCTGCGTGTATGCTCTGTGCTGCCAGGTCCTATCTATGCTGGGACTGCTGGTTTTACTAGAGCACTGGCAGATTAAAAATGGGCACTTTAAAGTTCCATAAAGTTTATCCTTCTGGGGAGGAGATGTACATGTGTCTTTTTCAGCTGTGGGATTCAGGAGAACGGCCCCAAATTGTAAATAGCTTTTCCCATCTTTTACCTTGGAATCAGTCAGTTAACTAGGTGGTGTGGAGTGCAAGGAGGAAGGTGGATAGTCCTGACTCTCTTCATGGGGGCTTCCCAGAGGTGCCCAGGTTGTGCACTTGGCTGGAGAAATGCACAGCAGAGACTCAAAGCTGCAGTTCCATTTTGTGTAATGTCGTGAATCCCAGATAACCTTGAATTAACCTCTGGCATGGGACTTAAAATTTGTGATATATAACAGCAATAATAAAGCAAAGTTTCTTTCCTTTGTTTGTCTCCCTTTTAAACCTCCTGGTTAGATATATTTTAAACTTACCCCTACAACAGGGAAGGCTGGGATTCAATCTGGCGTAGTTACATGAAGGCAAGATGCTTGCATGACTCCTAAATGTACCCTTTCGGTAATAAATAAATAAAAGTAATGAGAAACTCATATTTGCAAAGAGAAATGCTGACTTGTTCCCAGATCTGTCACTGACATGGCTAACAGCAGGTCATTATCTAGGCTCCATGGGTCAGAAGCCGGTTCTCCTGAGAACTTGAACCCTAATATCTACATAGGCTTTTGTCATATCGTGTTACTGTAGTGCTATGAGGTCCTGCCTAACCCTGCAGATAATCTTTGATCTTGAAATCTGGGAAAAATTGAAGTGATTCTTCAAGTTCTTTAATCTATTATGAGATGGTGCCCATGCCGCATTTAAAATAATTTGGTGAGTTGAGAGAAATGCACAGACATATATCCATGCTCCTGAGAAGTTAATTAGACCGATATGGGATCAAGACTGGAATAATGACTAACATTTATTATCCTTAGCGGCTCCACGAAACTTCTTTGACTGCCCCCAACAGTTTATGTGGGGAAGAGAGAAAGACTCTTGGCTCATCTGTGTGAAGCCACCATCTCCTCCTTCATTTAGCTCAAATGTCTTTCTGCACATTCACATCTTCCTCAGAGGGTCTTAACTCGTCTCACAAGTGGAAGCCAGTGGGGAGGGCAACACCTGCCTTCCCCCATCCCTAACGGTCAATTTAAAAGCATGCCCCGTGCTTCACTTTGAACAATTAAGCCTGAGATACTATGAGGGATATTGTTTTCTTAGTACTGCTGGGGAGTTAAAGGGTGTTTCACAGTTGGAATAATATTTTCTTTGAAATATTTGATGTTTATTATTTTACTCTTTAAGCAATATGAGGAGGAAAGGCTGTTTACTTAGAGAGACTTTACAAAGATGCGTGAGATGCACCGATGATATATAAAAACAAAACCAAATTAATTTACCAATGTGACACTCTTTGTTTTTAGGTGTACAAAAAGAAAACTGAAGCTGCCAAGAAGGAATATCTGAAGCAGTTAGCTGCCTACAGAGCAAGCCTTGTATCCAAGGTAACACATGTCTATACATACACACACACACATATATATAGTGACATACTGCAAACCGTTTTCAATACCATAGTATTTAGTGCAAATAGCCTTGTTTGTTATCACCTTAAAGTTAGGTTTAAGGTGGAAATGATCAATAAATACAGGCACGTCTCCATGACAAGTTATCCTTTCCCTTCTGCTCATAGAGACAGCACTTCTCTAGGCTGGGAGTATCATTGCAGGTCAACATTGGAAGAAGAAACAGATAAGAGGCCTCAATATAACAAACAAGTCATGCCAGGCAATCCTTGTTCTAACTATAACTGAAAAAAAAAAACAATCCTACACAAAATGCCTGGGTTTGGTTTTGTTGGGTTTTTTAAGTACTGCTTTTTTATCTTGCAGTTGCAAAACAGAAAAAGTCAAGTTCAGCTCACAAAACAAATTTTCATAAGAAAATATGAATTTTTGTTTCACATCCAGCAAGCAATGGTCAGCATGAGGCTGTTTTACCAGAATACACCAGTGAATTCCCAGTACACAGCTAGAAGCAATTTTCTAAACTGATTCATACAAACATTCTCAGTGCCCATAATTTTGTAAAAGACTCTTTAAAATTTGTAATAGACTTTAAAATATGCAGAAAAAGGTGAAATAGCTACACTGAGTCAATGTAAAAGCTAATTGAGTAACTTCAGAATCATACCAGTGAGAATCTGGTTTGGATCTGTTAATACAAAATTAAATATATTTTGTTCTTGCATAAATGAAACTAATTTTAGAGGTAAAGATGGTGGTATGAAGACTGGCATATATGACCTGAGTAGAAACTTTTGTTAATTATAAATGGTTTTAGGGTAATGCACTATAACTTTCAATATATTATATTCATTTTTACACATTTTCAGAGGAAAACTGTATGACTAGCCATATAAGCTCTTTTCATGCATCATTCTACATTACCTTTAGCATTTGATGAGGGTTTGTTGTGAATTTACACATCTGAAATATGGGTGTTACCTCATTCATTTTGGGGGGTTGTGTCTTATGCATTTTAATTTTATATCTACCATCATAAATTTTAATGCATTCCGTTAAAGTGATTTACAGTTTACCTTTAATTTCTGTCTTAGGGCTGTTTGGTTCTAGAAATACTCATTGCCTTCAGAAAGGGCACCATGTGTGCACAAGCAAATTTTTTGCAAATAACCCTCTTATTGGCAAAAGATAGGTCTAAAAAGCTCAAAATATTCCAATAGGTTTTGAAGAAATGCATGAAGCCAACTTTTCACTTGTGAAAATAACTTGGATATCATTATTTAGCACCTCATGGTCTGTTTACATAACACTCTATACAGCTTAAATTTTAAATGGCACATATAAAAAAACATTATTTTTAAGATTAAAAAAAAATATATCATGGCATTTTCTGAGGTTTGCTTTTAGGAAAAAAAAAATAGTTGATCAGTTCAGTGTATGATTCCCTTTGTGCAAGTATTTAAATTTGTTGTTAGTCAGAAAAGCACTGAAGCATTTTCTTAACTTTTAAGCAATTATTTAAATTCTGCCCATAATATAATGTTTTCCTCTAGTGTGGAAAGTATCAAAATATAAACTTAATGAAGCCGAGTACTAATTGCTTACTCTCATGAACATGCTCAATGAATCCAACAGAGCTGACATGTAACTAAAGCAAGTCCATTTTGGAGTGAGAATGTAAAATACCCAGATGTAATATTATATCAGTATATTTTAAATTATCATTATTAAATATTTATACAGCACCAGAGGAGTTGTAGTTCTTTGGACAAGCATGTAAGCATGAAGAAATATATATAATACATTATTAAGGTTGTTTGGAGTCCATCTGGTCTTTTATGTCCATGTGTTATGTTATCATCCATAAAGGCTACTTTTAGAGAACTTATTAAGATTCCACGAGCTCATTCTCAAAAGTTGACATGCCAAAAGCAACATACCTTTTCCAAAAATGCTTTAATACAATATTAATGATTTGCTCACATGCTCTGTTGTGTATTTTATGCTGCACTCCGTGCGAGTCTCATTTCATATGCTTACAACTAGGTGTTCACCCTGGGAGCCCCTCTGTTGTATTTACTGCATGTTGTTTAACCTTGGTTCTTTATAGGATTTTCTGTGCTGCTCATCCCAGCAGTGGTTTAGTATAAAGAAATTCTCAGTAATACTCTGGAGCAGGAAGTTTGTACTGCTTGTGTTTTCAAAAGCAACTAAATCATTGTCAAATCAGGCTTTCGGTACTTTTGCGTGTCCTGCTTGGGATCTAGAACTTCATTTCTCAGAGTATTTGACCAATATTGCACTGTTCTTGTTCACAGCAGAGCCCCAATGACTTCAGGCTCAGATGGCTGGCAGCTATGAGATGTTCCGTTGTGTTTCACATCACATCAGGACACCCTCTTTCTGTCCAAATGATAGGAGTTATTGTATTATCAAACTTTCTTCCTTCTCCCCTCTCAGAGGTCTCTGCCTGGGGGAAGACGCAGACACAAGCAGGCAAGGGTGCTGCTCAGGTTCCCTGTCTCCAGTTCAG